ATTTGTTGTTTTCAAAAGAAAATTTGCCATCTTCTTTTGCAATAATTCGTGACTCAAAAGGTATAAACTTATCTCTGAAGTAATTGCAATCAATTTGAACTACGAGACACTTATTGTTATTTAATTTCTATTTTGTTATTTACTGTTATTTAATTTTGTCGAAGTGGAATTGATATTTTGTATAATGGAAAGCTCGTGGACACTGTGAAGAAAATATTCATTGACTTCCTGTAGTAGAATTCAATTTTGGGTGGTTTTATAACTTTCAATATTTTATTATATTTTTGACACTTCCAGGGCCAAAGGAGACATTCTAATTTAATTTTTGAACGAAAAAACTATGGAGCTTTTTGGTTATGAATGAAAACGATAGTTTACGTTATAATTACAAAACAACTCAACTTCACTCATAATTAACCACAAACTTAATCGACACTATTCGCAACTATTAATTCATTTCCCAATAAACGTGATTAAATTGCAATTCGTATCAATTCCAAATCGTAATCCTCACTCGTTACTTTAATTCAAATTCGCCCAACATTGTCTACACCTATTTATGTCATCGTTTACCTATTTGCTCTGTTATTATTGCAACAGTCAACCATAACTAATTTTCTCGCTAATTAAAATTTCAACGAAGCCTGGAATTTCCACGAGGCAAAGCTTCCACGTACTCGTTTCCCCCCATACTCGATTTCCAACCCTAATGTCATTATAACGAGCCTCGATAATCATCGAACGGTCACCCCACCGAAATTTCCAATCCTCCAGAGTTCCAGACATTCCCCTGGCCTTTGAATCCTTTATCGGCGATCTGGAGAGTGATCCAAGAGCCACTCGACAAATGAGCGAGAAACAAAGATCGGGCTCGACGCGTTCGCGGCGAGATTTTCACTCTTTATTCGTCCGGTGATGCGATCGAGCCTGGATCTTGATTTCTCGATCTCACTGCACCGCGTCAGAGCTCCCCGATCGCTGGCGAATCGTGCATCTGCCTCGCATACGCGACCATAATGCAACGGGAGCAACGTCCACGCGGAAGTTCCGTGGACCAGCTGTTTCGAGAAACGATTTATATCGCGAGACGCATTGTGACGCAATGACGCGTCGGCGAAGTCATTCGTCGCGATCGCGATACCGCGGTATGGTTTATATATGGTAGGTAAGTATAGTAATGCGTTTGGGGGGCGATAAGAACGATCGATTTCAATGAGAACTACACCTAGGAGAATATTCCAAGGGGGGTGTAAGGATGACAATGTTATCGAAATATTAGAAAGGGTTACATAAGAGACTTCGCAGAGGATAATCATTGGATCATGGATGTTTATGCATGTTTATATTCTTACAGATATAGTTGATGAATTGAAAGTTAAAGAAAAGTGTGTTTCATTTTCTAAACAATGTAACATGCAGTTTATTATTCATATTTTAGATACTTTTGCATTCATCCTCGTACATTTTCTCACATTTTCACTCGCCATAAATAAAATGTAACTGAAATGAAATTTCAGGAAGCGAAACTAATGTAAATAAGACTGTTGGAAAATTTTAACGAATTACGGAACGAATCGTAATCGTTGATCCCATAAAATCCGTCACATGAAAATTTTGCATTGTATCCCAAACAATTTCTTTCTCTTCACAACCAAGTCCCAACCAAAGAACGATAGTAACACATAAACAGTAACATAAATAGCAACGAATTACGTAACGTCTCGTTACATTGCTCCCATAAAATCCG